ACCTACAATACTACAAACTTGACTACTTTCACCTGACGTAATCCCAGCTGTCACCGTTTTAAAGCGCCTGCTCACCGAGGACAACAGTACGGACAGCGACATCAAAACATTGTTAAGAACGGTCCTCTTGTAACATAGTTGTTTTTGTTTCTTTTTATATAATTTTCTTCCTTTTATTTTTCAATTCAAATGCTTTTTTATATATAATTGCCTACTGTTGTAATCATTCTTTGTTAAAAACAGGTCTCTCTTGTAAATGAGTCCTCAAGGCTCAATGAGATTAACCTGTATAAATAAAGGTTGAGTGAATTAATTAGTTAGCCTAAAATGAAATTTAAAAATAGGATGTGTTTGTGGGGGTGGAGACAAGTGTGTCTGTACATGCATACTGTCTTGCAATAATTTTTTGTACTCAACCTATTTTATTGTTGTGTCAGATTAATTTTTAGCAGAGAAAATGCAGGAGGGGAAAGGGTTTTCTGACACAAGAGCTTGAGAAGATGGAACAAGCTCTGCTCACTGATGGATCAGGGGCAACAGAGGCAGAGCCAGCAGAAAAGGTTGCTTGCATGGAAGCTGGTCCAAGCACTGGTTATCCTCCAAGCACAAGGAAAAGCTGCTTCAGCAGTCTGGATGACAGAATTCTGGAGGAGCATGATGAACCTGCAGGAGGTACCCAGGCAGTGGTTATCCAAATGCAAATGTATTTGAAAGAACCAACAATATGTGAGCAAGACAGCCCTTTCCAGTACTGGGCAAACAACCATGCTTGCTTTCCTCTCCTTGGTGCTGTTGCAGCAAAGTTCCTGAGTGCTCCTTCAACCAGTGTGGAAAGCTGTAGTGAACCAGATAACCTCAAATCTACCAGATGGACAGAGACTGTTATTTTCATTGATCTGAATAAGTCTGAACCATCTGATGAACTTTCTTTCTTGAATTAATCAAGCAGAAAAGACAATTCTTTATAATCATTACTGTCTTACAAATGTTTTGATAATCAAATTGTGTTAGTTCACTCAATGCTTTACAGGTTGAAAAGAACTACTAATTTTATTTTACATAAACAGTAAGTAATGATTTTTGTTCCTCATTCAAAGCAGAAATCACCTGAATATGCCTTTCTTGATTTTTCTGTCTGAAATGAGCAAGCTGTCGTAAGTATGTGAAAGGTTGGTCTTCGGTCAACTAAAATGTTTACTGAAGAAGAAATGTCATGTTTAAACTTTTTCAGAAGATTACTAAGAGTAGACTCCAAAAAGTCTGCTGCTTCTGCAATAATCTTTTCTGTATGTTAAACAAGTTTCATTCTCTGACCTCGACTGTTGATAAACACCTTACGTCAAAAACCACTCCTCTTTCTGGTCCTTCCACGAATCAGAAAGCTCTAAATTGAACAGGAAGTCGACCCAAATAAAATGTGGCACTTCCCAGTTCAAGTTAGATTGAGAGTTTTGAGAGATGTTGGATTGGGAGCTGACAACAGGTCCGATAGTCTAACAGAATGAGAAGATTGAGAATGCAGTCGGTTCTGAAAGCTTCAGAGCAATGAAGAATCCAGAGGTTTTTTGGGATTATAATTCTGTTTTGAGCTAATCAACGCACGACTTTCTGAAGGTTTGGTAGCTCTCGACGGAGACGCTGAAACGAGTCAGAAAGGAACCACATCCAACGCTGATTCATCGTCAACAGGTAGATGGTTCTATTTTGACCAAGTGTACCGTGAGAAGCTGAGATCGGACGGAGCGTGCAACTTCTGGTTAAACAGATTAAATCTCCCTCACATATTCCTCTGTAAGATAAATCTCAATTTACTCTTAAACTCACCTCTCTCTCATAAAACAGTACAGATATTTTTAGAAATGTCTGAAGCAAAGTCCTCAAATCACCGCCGAGTGATTTGAAGTTCATTTTCTGTGAAACTGTCTGTTATTATTTTCATATTTTGCCAAATTAATGTAAATGTTTGATGTTAAACTTTGATTTTGAAAATAAATGATTCCATTCATTTGATGGGTCAAAGATAAATAACGTCTCTCGTTCACATTTCTGTTAAATTCAATGCACGGCATTTACAGTCAGAAAAATGAAGAACTCGTGAATATTGTATGCATATATAATTCATATATTTGTACTACAACAAGTGACACGTACCTCACGTGTATCACTACAAAGCGAAAGACTGTTTAGCCCGGCGTCCAATATCGTAGATGAAAATAGGAATCGTCTGGTTACAGATATTGCACTTTTATTTCAAATATTTTGCATTTGAAACCCTTAATTTGTTGCTGCTACCTGAGCCAGTATACATAGTTGGTGCTGTTCACATGTACACTGTTGTATTAATGTGTGTATGTGTAATATGTTTTCATTTGATGCACTTTTATTAAAAAAAAAAAAGACATTTGCAAACTTTTTAATTTGTTGCTCTTTTTGTATTTTATTTGGAGAAGGATAGTTGTTACATAAGTTGACCCTTTATGGTTATCTGAATTGGATTTAATAAATACTGACAGTCAATCTGAAACCCGTACAGTTTCTTATTTCTTTTCAGCATTGGATTTTTCCTGTTAACACAATTTCATGTTTTTCTGACTTCCTTTTCTGACTTTATACTTGCCTCAAGTTGCATTTTTGGACATGCATACATATATTTGTTCAAATAGTGCTTGCCTGCAGAGAGGAGTTTATTACAGCCTCAAATAAAATCAATAATGATGATATATCGGAACAGCATTGGAGCAGTATCGCTATCGGCAGATATCCAGATTTAGGTATCGTGATTGAATTGGAAGTAAAAAAAAAAGTGGGTCAGTGCATTCTGTCAGCATTTTAATCATCTTTTAAAGCTCCCTGCTACACTAAACCTCAGACTAATCTGCTACAGCACTGACCTGACTGATACAACTGAATACCTTTTTTTAAATCCAATTTTTATGTATATATATTGTAGTAAAGGGCTGCACACTGGTGCAGTGGTTAGAGCTGTTGCCTCACACTAAGGCCATTTCAGGTTCAAAACTCAGCTCGGGCCCTTCTGTTTGGAATGTGTCTTCTCCTTTTTCCAGTTTCCTCCTACAAACTACGTAATAACATATGTTGGGTTAATTGGGGTCAATCATTACTTTTTTTATTCAACTAGAAAAAGAAAACACTCAGACTAAGATCTCTTTTACAAGAGTGACCTGTCAATGTCAGTAACTGGTAACTAAATTGTCTCTAGGTGTGGGAGGTTGTTTGTCTTGTCTCTGTGTGACCCTGTGATGGACTTGTGATCTATCCAGGGTGTCCCTGCACAAAGACGGCTCGAGATAGACACCAGCACCCTGTGACCCTGCTTAGAAAAGAGGGTAAAAAAAGTGGATGGATGGACGTAATGTTTTTTTAATTATAGTTCTCAGAAAGAAATTGTATAAGAAAACAATGGTATTAACAAGTGAAAGCTGTACAAGGAAGTCTGTACTGACCCTGAAAAGGTGAGGCAGTGCATCTCTACACTTAAATATTAGAGCCCGACCGATATGGAAATTTTAACTATTGCTGATACTGATATTGGGAGGGGAAGGTGACTGCTGATAATTGATATAATGGCTGAAAAATTTAGAGCTTTGTCAACCCCCAAGAATCTTAAGAAAACCGAGTAAAGCGGGGCTTGTTTATTTAGCACAGCAGTTAGCAACGATGAAGCTAAGCTAGTCAGATACATGCTATACCTAGTCCCACAGTAGGTTTACAAGTGGTGCACTGGTCATAAAAACAGCCTTCCTAATGTGCATTCACATTTTCTATCCTCCACTATTCACCATAAAGTTACCAAGTGTGTTGCAAAGATAAAAATGATCGTAAACAAAGGAACGCCCTTCCCTTTTAACAGTCAGTCACGTATGGTGAAGGTCTAATTAGTGTTGATCGCAGCAGAGATTATTTTTCTTTGCAGAGAAATTACGATTTCAAACCATGCATTTAATTGAGAACAACAAAGATAATGTTACTAACACTGAATGTCCTCACAAACTGGAAGCTTAATTCAACACGACTAGTTGCTATAACTACTGACAATGGAGCTGATGTGAAGGCGGTGCAACTGAACACTAATGCCAACTTACTAACTTGAGAGGCACGTAGCTAATGACAAGTGGAGTGGAGGATTGAAGAGAATTTATTGTTTTTTTTATTTATTTTAAAGATCGGTTAAACTTAACATGCTCTGTTCAGCAAAAATGCTGCACAGTATTTGACGCTCCCTGCTTTGTCTGTGCTGAATGTCGAAAGTGAAACTTAAAATTAATGGTCATAACATGAAAACAGTCCTCATGTGCCCTCTGTTGGATACATTGTACAATTAAGGCTGGTTCCAGCATTTTAGGGGTGAAAATTAGAAGTACTTTTACTGGTGCATAATGGGACAATTATCACCGATACCAACAGAACCCCAAATGTCTATATTGGCCTAAAATATCAGCCCTACCGATGTATCGGTCGGGCTCTGCAAAACATGTCTAGAACTTTTTGTTTTAGTTTAGCTCCCTGTGATGGACTTGAGACCTGTTCAGAGTGTACCCCGCCTCTCGTACCGTAATTGCTGGATATGAGCACCAGTGACCCCCACGACCCGAAAAGGAAGAAGCCGGTAAAGATGATGGATGGATAGTTTAGCTCCAACATAATTTAAGATGAGGAGTTTTAATTGTTGACTTGTGTGGCTCCATATTAAGAATTCAATAGTTTGTTTAGCTGAACTCTATTTATGTGCCGGTGGCTGAAGTGGCAAGTGAAGTAGGCAGTGTGTGTACACCCTTTCTACAACTGCATTTAAAGGGAAAACTCATTTGCTGCTGCTTAAACATACTCATGCCATTTGGCTCAGTAACTTGATCTGTTTCCTATTTTGTATAGACGTGTGTGCACTGGGCAGCCAAAGTGTACCTGAATTCAAGAAATAAGTCAGTGTAACATTTATTTCTTAAAGTGTTTTATCATTTTACAAACTTAATCCGCTTCTCTTGCTTTGTAGGGATATCATGTCCATTTACAAGGAACCTCCACCTGGGATGTTTGTTGTTCCTGATCCTCAAGACATGACCAAGGTAATAAAAGAACCAAAATTAATATCCAATAAATAGTTATGATTCCAGTATTATTTGTCTTTAAAATTAAACACGCTGGTTGTTCAGCACACATCTGTCTTTTTTTTTTTGTGGACTGAAGTCAGTATAAGATTTCATAAATTAAAGTTAAATTCATCTGTACTTTCTTAGTTCCATCTCTTTTGCTACTGATCTTACTAACCAGTAATGAACAATTATTTATCCAACTATATTTATTAAATTGATGAAAGAAGATAATTATTTTATCTCCTTGACCTGGGGTTACCAAAAAGTGAAGTGTGGTCTGGAGTTAGTGTTGTTCAAATGCAAATCTATTCTTAGATTTTCCTTGAATGTTTGTTTTTATTTGGACATGTATTCTCAACGTCACCTTGTTCTATATTGTTAAAATTTTATGTATGGTTGTCCCTGATCTGGAGAAATGCAACAAAATCCTATTCAAAATTGCATGGTGAGCAGTTTAATTTTGAATAAATGTAGATATTGAACTTGAACTTTTTTAACATTTATGGCAATCGGTTTCAGGAAGCAATAAATATATATCCATATGAACAGCTGGACTTTTTAAGCTTTGAACTACACTGCCTGGCCAATAAAACTGTCACCACCTGGATTTAACTAAGCAAATAGGTACGAGCCTCGTATTGGATAATTACTGCAGGGATGATTATCTTTCAGCTGCAACAAGTTATTTAGCCCCAACTGGTGCAATGAGTTGCTTCTCATTTCTTCAACAACCATGTTGAAAGACACATCATGTGGTCGTGGAAAAGATGTCAGTCTGTTTGAGAAGGGTCAAATCATTGGCATCAAGCAGAGAAAACATCTAAGGAGATTGTAGAAACTACTAAAATTGGGTTAAGAACTGTCCAACGCATTATTAAAAACTGGAAGGATAGTGGGGACCCATCATCTTTGAGGAAGAAATGTGGCCAGAAAAAAATCCTGAATGATCGTGATCGGCGATCGTTTAAACGTTTGGTGAAATCAAATGGAAGAAAAACAACAGTAGCACTCAGAGCTATGTCAGTAGTGAAAGAAAGAGCATTTCCACACACAATGTGAAGAACTCAAGGGATTGGGACTGAACAGCTGTGTAGCCTTAAGAAAATTACTAATCAGTGAGTCTAACTGGGAAAAAAAAGGCTTCAGTTTGCTAGGGAGCATAAAGATTGGACTCTGGAGCAATGGAAGAAGGTCATGTGGTCTGATGAGTCCAGATTGACCCTGTTCCAGAGTGATGGTTGCATCAGGGTAAGAAGAGAGGCAGGTGAAGTGATGACATCATGCCTAGTGTCTAGTCATCAATGCAAGATCTTGGTGAAAATTTAATGCAACACTGGATGGAAATAGATCTTGTGACATTGCAGAAGTTTATCGAAACAACACCACAGTGATGTAATCAAAGCTAAAGGTGGTCCAACGAAATATTGGTGTGTGACCTTTTTTTTTTGGTGGCAACTTTATTTTTTGGCCAGGCAGTGTATTTCTCTACCAGTGGCCAGTGAGCTTAAAGGTTCTGAACAGTATCTTAACTTTTCCTAGGACTGTGCTCTTCTGGGCAGAGATCTCTGAGGTTGTTCCTGGGATTAGAGTTGCGATTTCTGTCCCATGCCCGGGTCCAAAATTATGTGCTTGATGGGCGGGCCAGGTCAGACTTGGGCTTTTGATGTGGCTTTAATTATGCATGTGGCCCCGCCCGTTAAGGCTGGGTCATATCATATCCATCCATTATCTTTTACCCGCTTCTTCCATTTTGGGTCACGGGGTTCGCTGGTGCCCATGTCCAACAATCACTGTGCGAGAGGTGGGGTACACCCTGGACAAGTCTTCAGTCCATCACAGGGACACATAGAGACAAACGAGACAAACTAGGGGTGGGCGGCTGTGGCTGAGTGATTAGAGCAGTCGTCTTCCAATGCAAGAGTTGGGGGTTCAAATCCACCAGCAGTCACATGCCGAAGTGTCCCTGGGCAAGACACTGAACCCTCATTGCCTCCAATGTGTGTCCCATCGGTGTTGGAATGTGATCTAAAGCTCTGATTAGTCTCTTTAGAATGATTTGTTCATTTAGCTTTGTAGAGAGCTAGTAGAGTGATGTATGAATGGGTACATGAGGCACAGATTGTAGTGTAAAGCGCTTTGAGTATCTTGATCAGATAGAAAGGCGTTATATAAGTACAGTCCATTTACCATTTACAAACTACCATTCACTCTCTCTCTCTCACCTTGGGACAATTTCAACTTAGTACCAATCAGCCTAACATGCATGTTTTTGGTCGTGGGAGGAAATCGGAGTACCCAGAGAAAAACCACGCATACATGGGTAGAACATGCAATTTCCACCCAGAAAGGTCCCTGAACTGGGATTTGAACCAGGGTAACCTGCTTGCTGAGAGGCAACAGCTCTACCAGTTGTGCGACCGTGGTGCCTAAATTATATCATGATAGGCTAATTTCACGGCATAAATACGTCAGTGTTTCTCCTACCATTATATAAGCGGGGCGCCCTGACTCGTTAACGAAACCGAGCACACCACCTACCGAACCAAACTGCCCCCCCCCCCCCACCTGTCAGTACTGGCGTAATGCTAAGCTAACCATGCACAATACTAGCTAGCTAAAAAGCTAAAAGCATCGCTCACGATGCCGCTTCCTTCACGCTGAATGCTGACGCACACACCACGCTTGAAAACTGCTGGTGGCTCTAAAACTGCCAGTACAAACAGCATGCAGCTCAGCCGCTGTGTTTCTACATCATTTAAAGGCAACATAATTTTTTTTGTATGTTACATTTATGCTCAACAGATCTAAAGCTTTTTTTTTTAAACAAATTTTTTTTGCAAACTGCACCTGCACTTTAATTTTTGTGATGGATTTTGTTCTATATTTTGTGCAGACTTTTTCAACCTAATTAACAGAAGGACCATTTTTATTTTTATACTTTGAGACTGAATACTTTACTAAATTAAGTAATTGCAGTAAAATTAACCTTTGTTGTTTTTTAGTTTTTATATAATACTGCAAATCAACATGTTAAGTTAATTTTGTCAAATGAATAACTGATTTCGGGCAGCACGGTGGCACAACTGGTAGAGCTGCTGCCTCTCAATGAGCAGGTTACCCTGGTTCAAATCTCGGTCCGTGGGCCCTTCTGGGTGGAGTTTGCATGTTCTCTCCGTGCATGCGTGGGTTTTCTCCGGGTACTCCAGTTTCCTCCCACAGACCAAAAACATGCATGTTAGGCTGATTGGTAACTCTAAATTGTCTCTAGGTGTGAGTGAGAGAGTGAATGGTTGTTTGTCTCTATGTGGCCCTGTGATGGACTGGAGTTTGCTGGAGATTGCTGGACATGAGCACCGGTGACCCCCGTGACCCAAAATGGAAGAAGCGGGTAAAAGATAATGGATGGATGGATTAACTATGATTTCGGGGGAGTTTTTTTGTTATCACAAAATTCATCGTTATCGTCAGAATGCTCTGAAATATCACAATATTGTGTTTGAGCCATATCACCCACCCCTACTGCCCGCCCTTTGCACTTATCACACATCTGAGGATTTGCAATTGACCCACAACAAGCAACATAATGGAGCTGGAAAGTATTAAACAAAAGCTAAAAACAGGAGAACTCACTCTACAAAGCCAGCACAGTGAAACCTGCTGATGTGTGTCAGGCACACGCTCAGGGCCAACCAATAAAAATATAAAACATACAGTATAACAGTAAATGGTAATAATTATTTAAAACGATAACAATTTAAGATCTAAAACACAGGCACTCTTGACAAGATATTCTTTGTCGGTTTTTTAAAAGTTTGCAAAAAGCACTCAAAGTAACAAGTTCTGTCAGTTTTAATTCAGCTTGCAAGGCATTCCAAGCTGAGGGGGAAGAAAAGCTAAAAGCTTTCTTGCCCTTTTCTTTTCGCACACGAGGAACATGAAGATGCAAACAGTCCTTAGAGCGTAAGGCACAACCACTGTCCATTCTTCATATAAAAGTACATGAATAATGTGGAAGCAGGCCAATAAGAGACTTATAAACCAATGTCATCCAATGTACATGTCGCCTGTTAAACAGGGAAGACATATTGGTTTTAAGATAGAGATCACAGTGATGAGTAAGGTAGCTACAACCAGTAATAAATCTTAATGCACAATGGTACACTGGATTCAATGACTGTAGACAACTGCTTGAAGCACACATAAACATCGCCATAGTCAAGTACTGGCAAAAATGTAGCTGTGATCAAAAGCTTTCTTGCTCTAAGGGAGAAACATGATTTGTTTCTAAAGAAGAGCCCGAGCTTCATCCTTAATTTGGAGATTAGGTGTTTCACATGAGATTACAGATTACAGTAATTACAGTTAATTAGTTGGGTCGGGTTCTGAAAAAAACGCCAATGAGCTCGGGCCAGGTCAGATTTTTTTAGGCCCGAATGCAACTCTACCTTGTTATCTGTTGGATCCCTTCTTCTAGTTTTCAGGTCACAACCCCTATCGACACCACTGATGCCTGGACTCCACATCCCTTTCCTTTGGTAGCTCTTTTTATTTCTCAAGCTTCTTATTTTGCTTTATGTTGCAGTCACTTTGAATTGCTACATTTATCACCACTGCTATCTTCTGTAGTTTACTGACCAATACAATGCCCGGGTGGTTAGCCATAGGTTGGTCTATCTGGATCTGGAAGTCCCACGGTATCTTAACACCGTCTTTCTCAATCATGTTTGGTAGACTCTCCCACTTTGGGATCACCAGGTCATATTTGGCACAGATGTTCCTGTACACTATTTCAGATACTTGGTTATGGCATGGCAGGTACACTTTGCCTGCCCTCATTTAACATCACAACATGGGTGAAGGGCATTTCATTATGCAAAAATAGATAATGGTAGGGGAAACACTGGAAGAGTATCAGGATGTAATAGGATGGCAAAATGTACATGGAAGTCCATAACCTTTTGGCTGGAATAGTGTTCAGGAAATTCTCTGTCAAATAAGGGCTGGGGATCAAAGTAACTCCTGACTGTAACCCTTGGATCACTGAGGTGAAACCTCACAAAAATTTAACCCTCAAGAAGCTTGAGAATTATCAAGGATTTTCACAAGTTGTGAAGAGTCAAGTCCTTAGTGGTCATCTGATCCTCCCTAAATTCAAAATCACAGAGTTCTCAACATTAACTTTAGAACCCTGAAGCTTCCTGTAAAGCACTGATTCCTAATCATGGGGGCCTGGCCCCCATGGGGGGGTGTCGCATAATGTGTCTGCTCAGAGATTGTAAAAATATCAATTTATTGTCTGTGTAACAACTTTAGAAAATATGCTTTTATTTTTAATTATAATACTTGGAATTTCTGGTCCACCATCCAACATCTCGTGGGGGTGGGGGGAAAGCGGTATGCCACCAACACTATTTATAGTGGAGGTGGTTTGCTGCTGACCTCAACTCGGGATGTTGTGGGTTGGTGGACGGAGTACTTCGAAGACCTCCTCAATCCCACTGACACGTCTTCTACTGAGGAAGCAGAGCCTGGGGACTTTGGGTCGGGCTCTCGAATCTGTGGTGCTGAGGTCACCGAGGTGGTTAAAACGTTTCTCGGTGGCAGGGTCCCAGGGGTGGATGAGATTCGCCTGGAGTTCCTTAAGGCTCTGGATGTTGTGGGGTTGTGTTGGCTTACATGAATCTGCAATATTGCGTGGACATCGGGGGCAGTTCCCCTGGATTGGCAGACTGGGGTGGTGGTCCACCTATTAAAAAAGGGGGGCCGCAGAGTGTGTTCCAACTACAGGGGGATCACACTCTTAAGCCTACCTGGTAAGGTTTATTTGGGGGTTCTGGAGAGGAGGGTTCGTCGGATAGTCGAACCTCAGATTCAGGAGGAGCAGTGCGGGTTTCGTCCTGGTCGTGGAACACTGGACTAGCTTTACACCCTCAGCAGGGTCCTGGAGGGTGCGTGGGAGTTTGCCCAACCAGTCTACATGTGCTTTGTGGACTTGGAGAAGGCGTTCGATCGTGTCCCTCGGGGAGCCCTGTGGGGGGTACTCCAGGAGTATGGGGTACCAGGCCCTTTGATACGGGCTGTTAGGTCCCGTCAGAGCCTGGTCCGCATTGTCGGCAGTAAGTCGGGCTCGTTCCCAGTGATAGTTGGACACCACCAAGGTTGCCCTTTGTCACCGAATCTATTCATAACTTTTATGGGCAGGATGTCTAGGCGCAGCCATGGTTTTGAGGGGATCCGTTTTGGTGGCCTTAGGATTGCTTCTCTGTTTTTTGCATATGATGTGGTCCTGTTGGCTTCATCAGGTCGTGATCGACAGCTTTCGCTGGAGTGGTTTGCAGCAGAGTGTGACGCGGCCGGGATGAGGATCAGTTCTTCCAAATCTGAGGCCCTGGTCTTGTGCCGGAAAAGTGTGGAGTGCCCTCTCTAGGTCGGGGAGGAGATCCTGCCCCAAGTGGAGGAGTTTAAGTATCTCAAGGTCTTGTTCACGAATGAGGGAAAAATAGAGCGGGAGATCGATAGGCGGATAGGTGCAGCGTCGGCAGTGAAGCGGGCGTTGTACCGGTTTGTCGTAGTGAAGAGAGAGCTGAGTCAAAAATCGAAGCTCTCAATTTACCGGTCTATCTACGTTCCTACCCTCATCTATGGTCATGAGGTTTGGGTTGTGACCGAAAGAACGAGATCTCGGATACAAGCGGCCGAAATGAGTTTTCTCCACAGGGTGACTGGGCTCTCCCTTAGAGATAGGGTGAGAAGCTCGATCATCCGGGAGGGACTCAGAGTAGAGCCGCTGCTTCTCCACATCGAGAGGAGCCAGTTGAGGTGGCTCGGGCATCTGGTTAGGATGCCTCCTGGATGCCTCCCTGGTGAGGTGTTCCGGGCACGTCCCACCGGGAAGAGACCCAGAGGAAGACCCAGGACACGCTACTATGTTTCTCGGCTGGCCTTGGGATTCCCCCTGGAGGAGCTGGACCAAGTGGCTGGGGAGAGGGAAGTCTGGGCCTCCCTACTTAGGCTGCTACCCCCACGACCCGACCCCGGATAAGTGGAAGAGAATGGATGTTTGAAATTTCACCAAATCCTGATTAACACTGAAGAACCCTCATTTTGGTTATGTTTGAATTGTTTTCTATAATGTATTATGTTAAAAACTCAAATCTGTACTGTCACTTTAAGAGCACACCGTCAGTACATTGCGTGCAGCTCTCGGCAGCGCAGCTGCCTTAGAAGAAGAAGAAGCTATTGTTGCTCTTGGATAAGCTCACGTTTGTCACAATCCTCGTGTTTTAGACCCATTTGCAGGCAGGTGAGCAAAGCAGGAGTTTAAATAAAAATTTATTTAACCAACAAAACAAAAAGCTGACGAGGCAGCAAAAAATATTCAAACACAGGACGAGTATAAACTGAGCAAAACTAAACATCAGACAAGAGACATGGGACGGGACAACAAGTTACAGGCTGAGACAGATCATCAGACAGGAACAGAGGAGGACTGAGATGTCTGTGCATGACAGAACAATGACTGGATGGTTTAAGGCAGAGGTAGGTGAGTAATGAGAGCACCTGCGATGGATGCTGATTAGAGACAGGTGTGAATGGTTAGAGAGTGGAGAAGCAGGCTGAGGAGTGACAGAAAACAGAGTCAAAAACAACAGGAACAGAATGACAAGTAGAAGAAACAAATACAAAGAAAACAGACACAGGGACAGACCCTGTCAATATTTTTATTAAATATATAACATAAATGTAAGCACATGCAGTTGTGAATGTTTAAATGTGTAAAAACACACAGTCATTTTTCTGACAACATAAGTACATTTTTCCCTAGTTTAGAACATTTAGACATTATTATTATTGTTATTATTGTTATAATAATAATAATTATTATTATTATTATTATTGTTATTATTTGTGAAAATCAGGAATACTTTCAGAAGCAGTTGGCACTGTAAAAAAAAGTCCACTGACATCAGAAAAGCCTTTAAAAGAGCAGGTATTGATTTACACAGAGTGTTTGCTTTTAATCGCTAAGACTAAAAATCCGCACAATATTAGAGAAATCTTCTGAAACCCGCCTGCCTGAAAATTGTAGAGTTGATGTTTGGGGCTCATGCAGTGGATAAAGTGAAAAACTGTCCCGCTCTCTAACAATGTCGAGGACAGAATAGATAAAATTGCTGAAAATGGTAAAAAAAAAATCAGCTGCATGACAGGATCAGGAAGATATCTTGACAAAACTACAATTTTTTATTTTTTTAAGACTGTTTTTAAGATTACATTGTTAGTTTTTAAAGAAAAGTTACTTGAGTAATTCTCAAAACAGTGTTCTTGTAGTTATTTCTATAGTACAATTACCAGTTTATACCTTTTACAAATAAAAGTTTGTAACTATTTAATTTATTCTTTTATTCTTTACTTTATTCTATATTTAACTATAATTACTTATAATATTTATTTTTTATCACTTTGATAAAGAGATTAATCTGAATGAGCCTTCTGGAAGAGGGGAGTAGCGAGGGATTGGGGGGTCTGATTGGCTAGGAAGTAAGAAGGGGGGTCTTTGAGGAAAATAGGTTGGGAACCACTGCTGTAGAAGACTTTGTGCATGGGCAATATTTTCCTAAAGATCAGAACAATATACTTAGTAACTTTAGTAACAATATTTTTTTAGTACATGATCAATAAGCAGCATTCAAAGTGGGAAGAAAAACTATAGCTGGTTCACAGGTTTATGAGTTCACCCGTGTAACCATGGCAACTGAGCTGGGCTCAAATGCTTTGATTACCGTTTCATGTCTGATTCAATCTGTATTATGCTAGCTCATCAATGTAAATGAGAACTGGTTCTCAATTAGCCTACCAGGTAAAATAAAGATGATGATGACAGTTGTTGTTGTTTGTTGTTAAAATACAGTAGAATGCCCATCATGTTAAAAGCTATGACTTTCATTTTAACATAAGCCACATTTTTTTAGTTCAACCATCAGATGCCTTTATTTTCTTGAATGACCTCTGTCACCTGTCTCTACTTTAGATCCATGCACTGATCACTGGACCATTTGACACACCATATGAGGGCGGCTATTTTCTTTTTCTTTTTCGCTGCCCTCCAAACTACCCAATTCATCCACCAAGGGTGAAGCTCATCACCACCGGACATAACACTGTTCGCTTCAACCCCAACTTTTACCGCAATGGCAAAGTGTGCCTTAGCATCCTGGGGTAAGTCCTTCGTGTACTTTATAATTGTGGTGCCGGTAGGCGCCAGTAAACATTAGCATGTTTATTTTAAAGTTCAGCACCCACCATAATTGTCCCAATTGCTCTCAAGGGATAATCACTGTCATGGAATACGATGGTTTTATGTATTTTATTGTTCTTTGTATTTCTTTTCTTTTGCATTTTTCATTTTTTCCGCAATTGTTAAAAACAAACAAAACACTTACGAAAACACTCGAGCTCATGGCCAATGATTGCCGGAGGCTGATGAGGTCATGCTGGTGATGGGGTACAGGCTGAAGTGTACAGTGATCCCTCACCATGTTTTAGAGAGCTTGTGGGACTTGATCCAGTGTTAAACTCACTTCTCCAGGTAGAGTATTGGGACGGATGGAGAGTAGTGACATCACTGTGAGAGAGGAGTTCTGAGTTGGGTTGTTGCTTAGTTTGGATCTGTCCAGAACTCAGTGGGTCAGTCAGAGAACAGGCAAGAGTCATGCACAGGGAGATAGGCTTCAAACTAATCGGGCAATACTGGAGACCGGAGTACAGAAAAAAGGTCAATGTCCAGAAATCAGAAGCTTGGCAGGTGTCTAACAGGGGCAAAGCGAAACTGGAAAATCCACAGCACAGAAACTTGGTCAGGATGAGGGGATCAGTCAGGAGCATGAGATAATCGTTGGACATTTACTTGCACAAGGCTTTCAATGATCTTGTGCCAGAAAGAGAACAGAGGAATGCTTAAATATTATGACCACCAGATGAGAAGAATATGCTGATCATAGCAGAGCAGGTAGGCGTGGTGAACAGTCAGTCAGGAATCATGACATTCCCACTCATAGAAACATGTCATATTCTCTTTAACACTTGATGAATGTACTGTACTGCACCGCACATACATTACACACAATATAAAAGCCGGGTTTAAAAAACCTGCAATATAGTGAAGACTCAAGAAGTGAACCGCGATATAGCAAGGGACGACTGTATTCCAGATGGAGGCCTTGCTGCTAGCAAGGATGATTTCAGTGGAGAAAGGAATAAAGTAGAAGTGTTCAGTGTGTAATTACTGCTAAACAAAGAGGGCCCACTCCACATGTATACGAGCCACCACAAAGGCAAAATAAGGCAATTCCATTAGAAGACTCATCGGTAGAGGAAGGACCTTCCCGGCTTGTAAACATGGACTGGTATGTTCTAGTGTTTACAATAGAATGGACATTCTATGAAAAATAACCTGTTTATAAGTAGAGCTGGGTGATATAGACCTAAATGAATATCTTGATATTTTAAGATAAATCTTGATATACGATATATATTTTGATTTTTATTTATTTATTTACTTTCCATAAAGTAAGAACAAAAATAGATTTCAGAGTCTAAGCTTTGTCCCAGTTGTCACACAGGCACATTTATTAACAACAGCTGTAACCGTACAAAATGTCTAAAAAATAAACTATTTACATATATTTACGTTTGTTTTTTAGGCATTTATTACATATACAAATACAAGTTTCAAGACATTTGATAATATCCATAGAAAATCAAAGCAAATATGTTCTTGTCTTTAGTATTTCACCCTGTTTTACCCTGTTTTTACCCTGATTTATTAATAAATCTCACATCTGATTCCAATGAAGTATATTCATTCAACCTTTAATAACCTCTATTAACAAATCTTCTGACTCTGAAAATGCAGAGCTCAGTTGGAGTTTTTTTTTTCTCTCACCCTAAACTTGTCTCCAAGTTTTTAATGAGAAGACAGCTTCATACCTTGCCACTCTAAAACGGCTAATTTCCTGGAGAACACCAAACCTCTGCTTTGTAGCAGCTACTCAGTCATTTTAACACCTATCAGTTCTCTCCCACTGTGAGTCAATATCTGCATATCTACGCTCAGCTTTGTAATTCAAATAGTCTTCAGGTGCTGCAAGCGGCTGGGCAGTGGCCGGTTGGTACTCAAGTGAGTGGAAAGAAGGAGGGGTGGCATTAAGGTGACTGGGAGGACAAAACTGGCAGATTTATTAACTGTAGGTAGAATATAAGACTATATTGTTTTATATCATTATAGTCTCATTTTATATTGTGAATTAAATTATATTGATATTTTAAAAATATTGATAGCCCTAAAGAGCCCTATTTATAAGGATAATTTGCTATTAACTCTCTGGAGTTGATGTACGCACCGGTTTGTCCAAATCACATGTTGAATTTCAGTCGGCGTAGCAGTAAAGAAGCAGACTTCTTTGAGACGGAGAAGGCCAAGAAGGCCAAGGCCACATATGCACAGAGGATCGAGGGTCAATTCATCTCACAAGACCCTCGGAGCATGTGGAGGGTCATTAAGTGCATAACAGATTATTAAGGAAAGAGTGAACAATGCCCCAAAGACCCATCTCTGCCTGATGCCCTCAACAAGTTCTATGCACGCTTTGAAGACCCGAACAGACCACCCAGCACCAGACTCACCTCACCACCGGATGAAGAGCATCTCAGCGTGACCTCAGCAGAAGTAAGGAGTACTTTCAGGAGGATTAATCCGCACAAAGCAACCGATCCAGACAACATCCCCGGAAAAGTGTTGAAAGAATGTGCCGATCGCTCTGCGAGGTGCTGGCAGACATCTTTAACACCTCACTTACCCTGGAGACAGTTCCCACCTGCCTGAAGACTGTCACCATCATCCCAGTCCTAAAAAGCTCTACAGTGATTGTTCTGAATGACTATTGACCAGTGGCCCTCACCCCGATAGTCGCTAAATGCTTCAAAAAACTGGTCATGACTCTCATAAAAAAAACATCAACGAGGACCCTCATCAGTACGCATACCGTGAGAACCGATCAACAGAGGATGCCATCTCCTCTGTGGTCCACACTGCGCTCAACCACCTGGAGCAGAAAGACTCTTATGTCCGTATGCTCTTTGTGGACTTCACATCCGCCTTCAACACCATGATCCCCCAAACCCTGATTGACAAACTATTTGCACTAGGACTACGCCCCTCCATTTGCAATTGGGTCCTAGACTTCTTAACAAACAGACCTCAGTCAGTGAGGATCCACAACTTCTTCTCCTCCACCATAACCCTCAGCACTGGCTCTCCTCAGGGATGTGTGTTGAGCCCCCTCCTGTTTACTCTGCTCACGTATGATTGTGCAGCTACCCATCCAGGCTGTCACATTGTAAAGTTTGCAGATGATACAGCAGTGGTGGATGCATCACAAACAATGATGAGTCCAGCTACAGGCAAGAGGTGGAACACCTGGAGAGGTGGTGCAAAGAGAATAACCTTCACATCAATGTGAAGAAGACAAAGGAGATGATTGTGGACTTCAGAAGGAACAAAAACACCTACACTACCCTGAACATAAGAGGATCTGTGGTGGAAGTGGTCTCCAGCTACAAGTACTTGGGTGTACACCTGAATGACAACCTCAGCTGGAGCAACAACACGTCCAGCCTGATCAAGAAAGCTCATCAGAGAATCTACTTCCTCAGACGGCTGAGACGAGCTGGTCTGGGAAGCTCAGTCCTCACCTCCTTCTACAGGTGTGCAGTGGAGAGCATCCTGTGCTCGAGCATCAATGTGTGGCATGGAGGCTGCACAGCTGCAGAAAGAAAAGCTCTGTGAAGGCTGCACAGAAGATGTTGGAGTCAGTCTCCCCACCATCACAGATATTTACACCTCCAGATGCAGGAAGGATCACCTGCATCATGAAGGACCCCACTCACCCAGCGCACACACTTTTTGCCCCACTCCCCTCAGGAAGGAGGTTGAGGAGCATCCAGTGTAGAACCACTAGACTGAGGAACAGCTTCTACCCTGAGGCTGTTAGACTCATGAATCTCTAACTAGAATAATCACTGTGAAAAAATCACATCATGTTGCTGCTGATCTGTTTCATGTTGCTGCTGATCTGTTTCATGGTGATGTGTTCATGCGTGCTCATCTGCTCACACAGACTCATGTTCATGTTTGTGCTGATGTTCGACGTAATGTTTTATGTTATGAGTGCTTAGTGTATATTTAGTTGATGTTTTTCTTAGTTCATATTTTAGATGTTATTATTGTTTTTCTTATACATTTTATTGTTGGATGTAACTGGGACCCCGTGAACATAATTTCGCTCCACCACATGTACCACATGAGGTGCGAATGACAATAAAGAATCTCTGACTCTGACATGGCAAAAGTTGAATTGGGTTTATTTGGTGGCGATGTCGTTGGATGACATGATGGATGACATTGTTGATGGAGCCACATAGTCAGAACCTTCTCAGATAAAAGAGGGAAGGTCAAAGGTAGTGTGGAAGACAAAAATGGGTACTGATGACAGAGTGATGACTTTGATGTGGAAGTAGAAGATCTGCTGTTTGTTTTAGAAGAGGAAAGAGAAGAGTTCACAGAGCACAACTCTGAAGTCTACACAGAGGGTGGTATGGTGCGGCGCACCCGTCCAGATCCCTGCTGGCTGGGTCAACGAAACCAAGCATCAGTTCTGAGTTCTAGAGAACTGAGGTTCTTTTTAGTTTTAAATTGTTCTAAAATGACCGTTGCCTAATCACAGTTTAAAGTCTGGTTTATAATTTGAACTCTTTTTTTTTTTTTTTTTTTTAATTTATTTTATAATTTTTTTTACTTTTCACAAAAAAATCCAAATGATTAAGTGTCTTACCTACAAAACTTCCCATTTCCTCACAACTGTCAATGTTTTCTCAGGTCTGTCTGTGTCTGATTCTTCAAGTTTCCCAGTTCTTTTGCACAGTGGGTCTGCCTGAATAGCTGGCAAAGCATCTTTCCTCAGACTGGTGGTATACTTTCCTTTAAATCCAAACCCCTGCATCATTGCTTATTTTTCAGAGTCAGATTCTTTATCGTCATTCGCACCTCATGTGGTACATGTGGTGGAGCGAAATTATGTACACAGGGTCCCAGTTACATCCAACAATAAAATGTAAAAGGAAAACAATGATAACATCTAAGATATGAACTAAGAAAAACATCAACTAAATATACACAATCCTCTGGTTGGAAATTCTTGGAAAACAGAACACCGTTTGGCAATGGTGCTATAAAGTCTGCCCGTTTGAATTTGACAAACTTCACCCATTTCTTCCAAATTTCTTTGATTTTCAGGAATGAATGGGTTCTAACTCCCTCCTTGACTGTATTCCTACAGAACTGTGCAAAACCCCAATTTGGCATGTTGTTCTTGTCACAAATATTCTTGCCAGAAATTAGAAGGAATCAATTGACCGTATTGATGTACAATAGAAATCTGTCTGTCTCACCTGATGTGGACCCTGAGATGACCTCACACCACACATATGGTAGTTCAAGTTATGTTTATTTGTCATATGCAGGTTAACAGTACAATGAAATGTTCAGGATGAGAAGAACTGATTTGACTCACTAAAAACAAAGAACAAACGAACAAAAAAATACTAAAGCATTCAATAAGGGTACAAAATAAAGTACCAAAAAGTGAAAAAGTACATATAATATTTACAAGGTCCTAAGAAGAAATAGTAAACAACAACATAGTAGAATATAACTGTGCAAGTAGGATGAATTTGTATGAATAAGTATTTCAAGGTACTAATATAAGCTTAAATGCACATGGTGCATTTGCACATGGTAGTGAAGGGCTGTTTCCAAGCTTGTGATAAAACAGCTTTAAATCTCACAAAATCTACATTTTTAAGTTTAAGTTAAGTTTTTAAGTTTGCATTACTTTACAACATTTGCCACAGAACCTAGGTATTTATGTCTTATATATTGCTGGATATGTAATGTGAAAAAATGGTGGGTGTTGGACTTTAAAATTTTCTGCCCTGAAGCCAGTTGCACTGGGTCATAAGGTAGAAGCAAGCCAGGCCATTTACCTCTGTGTGTCTTTGTGCAGGACATGGACTGGCCCAGCGTGGAGTCCAGCCCAGAGTATCTCATCTGTCCTTATATCCATTCAGTCTCTGATGACGGAGAACCCTTATCATAATGAACCGGGCTTTGAACAGGTATGTATTTTAGTTAAGACAAGACCATGGTTCAGCTTTATATTTCTTTGTTCAACCATCTAGTTCCAGTGCTAAACTAGAGCCAGAGATTGCTTGTTATGTTTTATTTTTGTTCTAATGACATGAACCATCACCATCCACCAGCATCGAAAAGCCCACACTGTTTTTGTCTTTGCTTGGTCAGATGAAACATCTGCTTTTGTCAGAGGTTGGGAGTGGTTTCATGTAGAGTCCTGAACCAGTGAAACTGCTGTGGGCACTGTGTTTAAAAACTCCAACTTAGTTTTGCTTTACTTTGCTTTAAATTTGTTTTAAGGCTGGGCAATGAAAACACAAAGCTCCGTTCATTATAACACATCAAATTAGCAGTGGAATAAAACTGGTTTATTGTCTCTCATCATCATCCTATTTGTTTTAATATTGTCAAATGTGCAGGGTGTGGTTGTCAGTGCACTACACAGCGCTTACAAAGTTCCTGCTCAATCATCCAGGTATCAAATCCAATCATTCTCAGTCAGGTCGTCTGGACAGTTTCTTTTTTTTATAGAGATGTTTCACCCTCTATCCAGAGGGCTTCATCAGTCTGAGGAGTTCCAGTAAACTGTTTTCCCACCAAGCAGTAAACTTCTTAAGTGGACCAACCAGTTTGCTGGAGCTAAGATGGTTTCTTTGAAATTTGTAGTATTGCTTTTAAATCTGATTTTAAATGTGCAGATTATTTGAAACTACTTTTTTGTTCAACTTATTACATTGCAGTTAAATGTTATCTAGTTGAACCTCTAGATTTTCTGAGATTCTCGTGATAAATGAAAGCAAATGTGTCGCAAGTGGTCCTAATAGACGTTAGACCACCAGCTGCATAGCAACACTATCGGTCCGTTTTATGGATCTTTAATATAAGTGCAACTTATCTTTTTCAGGAACGTCACCCGGGGGATAGTAAGAATTACAATGAGTGTATCCGCCATGAAACCATGAGGGTGGCAGTGTGCGACATGCTCGAGGGTAAAGTCCTCTGCCCTGAAGCTCTGGGGTGAGATAAACGATTCTTCTTACACAAATTGTTGGCTATTGAATTTTTCTTCCTTGGAATTTTATTTATTTAATTTTTTTTGTCCTTGAAAATATTTTAATTCTAATGTTTTTTTTATTTTAGGAGTGTTATGGAGAAATCCTTTCTAGAATACTATGATTTCTATGAAGGAGTCTGCAAAGAAAGGCTCCACCTTCAGGGTCAGAACATGCAGGTAACAGTTTAAATTATCTAACACTTAAATGCACTTTTATATACTTCATTCTTGTATAGTTTGCTTTCATCAACTTTTATTTTCCAATAATAAAAGTAGAATAAAAAATTCTGTTAGTATGAATATTTGTTCTGTAAAAGTTACCCTGCATTAAGGAACTGAAGAAAACTTGGGAAAAATGGGGTGTTTGCTATAGTTTTTAATCATATACAGTAGTTCCTTGTTTATAGCGGGGTTTAGGGTCCACCCCCACGTGATACGTGAAGAACCGTGAAGTAGGGATAGTAGTACAAAGTACTTACTACTACTTGGGCGGCTGTGGCTGAGTGGTTAGAGCAGTCGTTCTCCAATGCGAGAGTTGGGGGTTCGAATCCACCAGCAATCACATGTTGAAGTGTCCCTGGGCAAGACACTGAATCTCTCATAGCCTCTGATGTGTGTCCCATCAGTGTATGAATGTGATAAAGCTCTGATTAGTCTCTTTAGAATTATTTGTTAAATTAGTTTTGTAGAGATCTAGTATAGAGCTGTATGAATGTATGAATGAGGCAGACTGTTGTAAAGAGCTTTGAGTATCTTGAAATAAGATAGAAAGGCGCTATATAAGTACAGTCCATTTACCATTTACTTTGTAGTAGTAGTAGTTTATTTTAGTATTCATATATAAATATATGAATATATGAAAGGCTATATAAACCCTTCCCACACTCTTGCATTATTCTAAACAATGTTTCCAAACTCTTGACACTCTAAAAGAGCACAGCATGTGATGATCATCTCTCTCTGCCAGTACACTTTTTCGCTGTAATCACTCTCCACACCTGCTCCCAATCTTCCTCCTTCTGTGTAAATTCCGTATTTTTCTTTGTATAAGTCGCAGTTTTTTGCATAATTTACGTGCCCTACGACTTATAGGCCGAAGCAACATATTTATGGATTTTTTTTCCCATATTTATAAACCATTTTTTGGCTGAGATATGACTGTTTCCATTCATTCTGACTGGGAAAAAAAGAGCAGTACCACTTTCAGCCACTTGATGGCAGCAGAGTATTAATAGTAGTTTGGCTTGCTGTTGGCTGTTGTATCATGTCGTAGAAAACGTGCCTATAATGACACATTCAAAAAAGTTCAAGACAAAAACAACTGGACTTTATTTATTATACTTTATACTTTATTGTTTTTTTTTCTTGAACTTTTTTGAATTTACCATGTCCTGGATGACTAAGAAGCTTTTCCAGCTTTTAATGACTCATTCGGCCTGGCATAGTCTCCCCACCTTGGTTCTGCTTGCTGTTTGGACTGACCGTCCATCCAGCTGCACCACCCCGGCGAAATTCAGCTGATTTGACCATTAAAGTGCATTTATTAAGCAAATGTTAGACTGAGACACACCTTTGCAAAACTTTCGAGCAAATAAATAAATAATTGTTTAGGTGCAGTTCTTGTTAATTTTTGGAGAAACGAGCTTCGTTCCTCCTTTATCTCGTCCTCTGCTCGTTCATGGAGCACCGAGGCAGCAAACTATTTTTTAAATGCAGCTGATTGACCATGAAAGTACATTTATTAGGCAAACGTTAGCTTGATACACACTTTAATATAATTTAGAGCAAACAAATAATTGTTTTTAAGTGTTGATCTTGTTAAATTCTTGTTAAGTCTTCCCGTGCACGCTCCTGCAGCCGCCATTTAGTGGCCCATCGGTTTTTGGCACACCACCGGTCCACATTTCTGGGTTCGGCCCACATTTCCGGGTTGTCAGTAGTGACGCGTAACAAACGCGACGCGTCAGTTGTGACGCATAATAGATGCGACGTTTACAGCAAAGCGACATATTTATGGATTTTTCCATTTCATTAGACAAATATGGACTGATGCGACTTATATGGCGGTGCGACGCGTACAGAGGAAAATACAGTAAACAGTTTAAATTTAAATACTGTAATATTTTGAATAAAGAATCCATGTCGCTCTTGGATCATTGTAGTGAAGTGTTTATCTTCAACCATTGACAGAGGCCTCATGTAAGTGTGGTTGTGCATGATGTCTTTCCATCATGAAGGCTGTTCCTGATTGTTGTTTCTTTCTGGAATGAGAAAGAGTATATTTGTATTATAGCATAATTTACAGCAACTCAAGAAATGCCTTGTTTCACTTACAGTGTTAGGTTCAAGCAAATAAGTAGCTAAAAGAGCAATTAAACACACAAACACACACATTCTTGTTTAAAATGCAATTCATCCTGACATACAATGCAGTGTCTTGAGACTTTGCCAGCAAATTGCCTCCACCCCTGTTTAACGATGGGGGTGGAGGCCTCCGTGTTCAACTGTCCCCCTCTTACAATGCTGTGATTGCTAGTATCACTCAGCCCTCTGTGAACAGTAAACAGCCATCAGTGTGCTAATGACCCATTGTTAGGCTGATGGTCCTTCTTGAGCATGTGATCAGCTGGTTTTGGTTGTCAGCAGCAAAACTGGTTGATCCACTCTGAGAAGGTGCTATTTAAGAGACTGAGCTGAAAACAGCTCCTCAGACTGAGGAAGTCTCTCAGACGAGAGACGAAACGTTTCTACATTTTTTTGTTGATTTGCTTTGTTTTGGGTTTTTTTTGAATGTCCAGAGGACCAGATTTAACTTTTTTAGAAGATACTGTATAGTTTACCCTCCAGGAGATATTTATCAGTACAACAGCAGACAATCAAAAAAAACCATGAATTGAAAATTGCAAGAAAATTATATATATATATAAAAAAAAGAAACAAAAATGGCTACATTATAAAGTGATGTAAAATACTAAAAACAGGAATGTGTCTGTGTTGGTTTATGCCATGAACTTAGCAGATGTTTAAAGCCATTATTATTATTATTTTTTTTTAATTCATTTATTCATTCATTTAAAAGAAACAAAATAAACAAAACAAATTAATCAAAAACAAAAAAAAACATTAAATGAAAAGAGTGCAGAAAGAAGAAAAATATTCTTATAATATCTGCCCCTTATTTAAAAAATAATAACTTTAAACAATCACTTAAATTAATCACTTTAATATCCACTTTAAAGCTAGGAATAAAAAAAACAAACATTTTTGTTAGCAGAATTTAATTCTAACTTTGAAACTTATCCAACATTAATAAAACTTACCTCAATTTGCCTTTTTAGACATGCATGCATATATTTGTACAAATTGTACTGGCCTATAGAGAGGATCACAACCTCATAAAATCAAATATGATGATATTGGGAAAGTATCGGTATCGGCCGATAACCAGATTTAGGTGTCTGAATCGGATCGGAAGTAAAAAAAAAAAAGTGGATCGGTGCATCCCTAGTCTTGAGTAATATTCTAATTTTCTGAGATACTGAATTTGTGGTTTTCACTCCATGGGCCCACACTGTTTAACCTCTACGTCCTTCCCCTCGGTCACATTATCACTCATCACAGGGTATGTTTACATGGACATAAGTAACCGGATCAAATGGCCGGTCGGAATAAAAGTGTGTCATGTAAACACTCCGTTCGGGTTATTTTTGTGTATTCGGCGCGATCCGTTATAATTTGTGATCAGAAAGAAATGGGTGGTTTACGCCGATCCGAAACCCGATCGGTGCGCATGTAAACGCTTGATCTGTTCATTTTTATCTGATGGTGAAAAACTGACCTGACTGCGCATGTGCGACTTTGCCATTTCCGCCTGGCTAACGCTAAGAATGTTAGCATGTCAGGAAAGTAAAACTGGTCGGTGAGCGACAGAACATTTCTACTAGAAACTTTTAAAGAGCTCAAAATGATTTCTATTACCTGTAGCTCAGTCAGGGAGTGCAGCAACGTCTCCACCATCATTAAAACCTGTCGCGGGTCCATTTTGGGTGCTCAGGTTTGTTTACGTTCACCCGGAAGTAGAACTTCTTCTTCGGTGGTTTTTTTTAAGGAGAGTGTACCACTCTGTGCATGTCAGTACTGCTGTTCAGAACAAAGCCCGCTGCATGTAAACGCTCGTCATGAACAGATTGTGTCCATGTAAACAATACATTTGAATTATTCAAACAGAACACATTTCAATCCGGTCAAAGAATTCTGGCCATGTAAACATAGCCACAGGGTCTCTTTTCATTGTTATGCAGACGACTTTCAGCTCTATCTCAAAGCAGGTTCTGTAGGTTCATCACTCTCCACTCTCACCATCTGTCTTGAGGAGGTAAAAGCCTGGATGAATGCAAACTTTCTCCATTTAAACACATCAAATACAGAAGCTATTTTGGTTCGTACCTCACATCAGACTCACTCAACATATATCTCTACCATAATTTTCTCTGCCCATAACATTCCCTTTTCTGGTACAGTGACTCTTGGTGTAAGATTTGATTCTCATCTTACATTTGAATCTCATATTAAACACATTTTCAAGACTTCCTTCTTTCATCTCAAAAACGTGCGAACTTGGTCCATTACTTTCCTTTTCTGATGCTGAAAAACTTGTTCATGCTTTCACCTCCTCAAGACTGGACTACTGCAACACACTTTTTTACAGAACTCCAAGCACGTTCAAAAACTTCAGTATAGAGCTGTCATTTCTAACCTGGGCCCACACCCGGGCCTGATCCAGCCCGAATTTCAGTTTCGGGCCGGCCCGGGTCAAAATAATGTTCTGGATGGGCGAGCCAGCTCGGTGTCGAGCTTTTTATTGCGTCAGCGGATGCTCGTGGCTGCCAATCCAATTTGGATCACCACCAGTTTGACCACTCGCTGACCGGCTGGTTGAATGAGGTACAAAGATTCCAAATGGTGCAGCCCACCTGAAGCTTAAATGGACTGTACTTATATGGCGCCTTTCTATCTTATCGAGATACTCAAAGTGCTTTACAACAATCTGTGCCCTCATTTACCCATTCATACAGCACTCTTACTATTTCTGTACAAAGATTAATCAGTGCTTGATCACATTCATACACTGATGGACACAATCAGAGGCAATGAGGGGTTCAGTGTCTTGCCCAACCACACTTCGGCATGTGACTGCAGGTGGAATCGAACCCCAACTCGTGCATTGGAGGATGACTGCTCTAACCACTCAGCCACAGCCGCCTGTCACACAGGCACACATAAGCCGTGCTATGTTTTTACTGACAGTTTTCGAGTGTGTGTGTGTGTGGGGGGGGGGGGGGGGGGGTTTCAGTGGGAGGGTTTAGCATGAGGGAAGAGGCTGCCTTTAGCTTTTTAGCTAGTGCACCTGCATTGCGAGCCGCTAGCTTAGCGTTACGTCAGTGCTGACAGGTTGATGGATGGGTGGGTGTTTCGGTAGACGGGGCACTCGGTTCTGTTGACGAGGTGAGGCACCCCGCTTGTATAATGGTAAGGGAAACACTAATATTATAATAACTTTAATAATCCACTGACTAGGGATGTGCGAAATGAGACATAAAATTCATATCACGATATGTATTGTGATGGGTGGCGATAACGATATATATCTCAATATGTTTTTGGTATAAAACTTGCAATAGGAATGAAAAAAGCATAGGATGTCCTTTTGCCATCATTTATTTTGAAAACTGCTATACCACAAAATAATCTCAATTAAGAAAATTCAACTACTAGGGCCAGATAATTTTTTAATAATTAACAAATCAAGGATTAGGCTTCTTTCTTGTAGTGCAAAACAGTGCAAAAGATATAAAATGTAACAAAGTCCATGCTCAATAATCCAGGTATACAATCCAGGATTTTTCAGTCAGGTCATCTGGACTTCCACTTTGGAGTAAGCTGTTGGGGGAAGAATCAGTTTTGTTGTGCGTTTCCTTGACTGATGAAGCCTTCCGGATCGAAGGCGAAACGTTTCAGCACAAAAAAATAAACTGTCCAGATGACCTGACTGAAAAATGTTAGATATCAAATGTAGTTTTAGCCATATGTTTTAAACAAAAGAATTGGGCGCTTTCAATAGCTGCCCACTGCACCACCTGGTGGTGGATGGGTTAAATGCAGAGACTAATTTCGCCATTGTATGGAAACATACAGTGCTGACATTGTGATGACATTATTATTATTATTATTATTAATAAATGAACAGCAACAGAGCAGCATTTTACACTGAAAACACTTCACCCTCCAACCCTCTAGTGGGCGTCTCCTTCTGCTTTAAGTAGAGCTGACACAAAATGGTGACCAGTTTCCTCTGTGGCTTTGACCAGAGGGTCTCGCAGTAAAATCACACAACACAGCGTTCTTTTCACAGATCAGAGAGCAGGTTGAACCCCCCCCCCCCTTTTTTTTTTTTTAGCTCAGATGCACGCTCTAAAGCTGACCAACGAACTTTCGACAAAAAAAAACTTTTGATGGAACACCGTTTTGCGCATGCGTCCAAATACGAGTATGGGTAGCTTGTAGCTTCGCTACTTAGCTCTTGAAGAAAGGACTTTAACACCACTTACACAGTTTTCAACAAAAAAACGTAACAGTTAAATCGGACAACTCTGATTTCACATCAGACACAACGTTACTGTGGTTAGCCAGTAGAATACAGATCTCTATCATAGGCTAAATGTCTATCGATTCTACCGTGTACCGCATATTTTGCACTTTCTTACCGTTGACTCTTGTTAATAAACAAGAAATCGTATCTTCCTATCTTTGAAATACATTTTTAAATCACATCAAACTGATTTGCTTACAAAAGCAGTACAAACTTAATAAATAAAAAAAAGTCATGTTTACTCACCCACTAGTCCATTCACAGCAATGCTCCACACTATCTTAAAGAACTGCTCACTGCTCAGACATCAACACGGTCCTTCAGCCCCACAAATTCCTACCAGCTCCACCCTCCTTGGACAAAACTGTGTACAGTGGGTGACAGGGCCTTCTGCTCTTCTGCTCCTCGTCAGTGGAACACCCTCCCCGACCATCTAAGGGTACCCCAGACTACAGAAAGTTTTAAGAAAGGACTGAAGACCTCCTTATTTGAAAGATTTGATAGTGTTTACATTTATTTGTAATCCTGCTGTTTTTAGTTTTTTAGATCTTGCTCTATTCTCTCTAGCTGTTTTATGTTGTAGCACTTTGAGATGGAAAAATGTCAAGTGCAGTACAAATACATCCATCCATCCATTATCTTTTTCCCGCTTCTTTCATTTTGGGTCATGGGGGTCGCCGGTGCCCATGTCCAGCAATCACTGTGCGAGGGGTGGGGTACACCCTGGACAGGTCTCCAGTCCATCACAGGGACACATAGAGACAAATGAGACAAACAACCATTCACTCTCTCACTCACACCCAGGGATTATTATTATTAATACTGTTGCATACTGTATATCTCATAAAAAGACATGAACCTTGTTATGGCAGACTTGTCTCAGATTATCTTCTGTTGTTGTTTTATTGATATTGATCCTTTCAAAAATTACTTTATTGTCTCTCTTCAGGATCCATTTGGGGAGAAGCGTGGTCGTTTTGACTACCAGAGTCTGCTGGTTCGCCTTCGTGCCACTCACAGGCGAATACAGGAGAAAAACTTGGCAGAGAATGATAATGATGCTTCAGACTCAGACACCAGCTCCTCTGGAACAGACCCTGATAGCCAGGGCAGCTCACATCCCTGACTCAGAGATGCAGAGGACGTTTTTTAAAACTCTGCTTGTTGTTTGTTGTTGCGATTGATTGCTATATAAGAACATCACTGAGTTCAACAGTAAGCAGATTTTTTTAAAGCTTTGAGTCAAGATAAGTACAAGATATGACAGAAATAAGGGTTCTTGTGTGGATTTGCACACAAGAATGTTACCAATATTCTGACATATTTTACTCAAGATTTTCAAAGTGGCTGCCCAGAAAGTAGTTAATTTTGAAATCTACCTTTTTGTTTTGTGAGTATGTCTTAAAATTTTGATTAATGTAGAAAAAAAGACAACTGGAGAAACCCAAACATGTCCTTTGCTTTTTATTTTCAGTTTTGTTTTTTCACAAAGGAAAATATAATGTATGTTGGGAGAACACAGACAGTAAGATAGGTCTGGGTGTGGTAAAAAGACCTGATCCTGGATAAATCAGAGGTCGATTTAAATTGACTGGATCAATGGAAGATGTTTGTGTTCAATAAAGCAGGCCTTTATGCAAATGAGTCTTGTTTGTGTTTACAGGTAAGCACATTTTGTTTTTATATTTTTAAAATGAAAGTGGCTTATTTTATCTAAGCCAAGGTAAATAATGCTCCATATTTTCATTCAGGCTGTCTAAGTTTAAAGGGACCTCTCTTCACCCAAAACAAGGTGTATGCCCTTTCCTGAACAGATGCATCTTTAGTGAACTGACTATAGAAACTTGGAGGTCATGCTTGGAAACTGGTAATGATGTGAAATTAATTACTGGGCATGTTTGAGGGTTTTACAACAAAGTGATATTTCTTGCTTCATCAGATTTTGAGTTAACGTCAGCTTTCTGTAGCACAAAACGATGCATTTGAACTTGGCGAGATCGCCATGGTAATGGGTTTGATTAACTGTTAGAAGAGCATTCTGTTCATTAATTGGGGACTGCCATCAGGAAAGGACTCCTCACATGGTAAAGTTTAATCAAAATTTTAAAATGGCCGCCACGTGGCAGTCCCCATTAAAGTTTCTCCAGGAACTTTTCTAGTTCTCTTCAATATTTGTTAGAAAAAAAATCAGACGGTAACAATACATCATGGTTCTTGTTGCAGGAACGTTTAAATTTTGATGGTCACCCCACCACCGAAATGTACCTGTCATTTTAAGACGATCTGTATTTACGTTTTTTTTTTTATGTTGGTATTTTATAATGGTCAAAATTAACCTCAAAGTATTTTTTGAAAGAATGTACTTTAATTTATTGTTGGACCATATAAATACATTGTGTGAAGCCTTTAGAATGTTCTATATTTCTGCGTAAATGTGACTTAAAACTTCTTTCACACAACTCCTAAAAGTAGATAAAGAGAACCCAGTTAATCAAATGAGACAAAATATTATACTCGGTCTTTTCTTCATTGAGGTGATCCAATATTACATATTTGTGAATGACAAAAGTATGTGAACATTTGCTTTCAGTATCTGCTGTGTTCCATCAATGATGGCAAGCTGTCCTGGCCCAGATGCAGCAGAACAGGCCCAAACCATGATACAACCACAGTCCAATGTTCCCTCTAGTTTTTCATGTGTCTGGGCAAACACAAGCTCCCTGAGTGCACTGAGGACCACTGAGCAACATCAGATGTGCACGCTGTGTCCACACACCAGTATCACACCTGTTCAAAACCTGGGATCATAGCAAATTACATGACTTTTTAAAATAATCAAATTACAGAAGCAATTTCCATTAGTTTACTTTTAATAGTGATGTGACTCACTTAAAGACAAAAATCTTGTTCATGAGATGTGTGACAGTCCTGCTTTGGTCTGGGTGAGGGTTCTGCTCTGGAAGAAATGAGACATACACCTTTCAGACAACAGTTTGTTCACATTAAAACATTCATACTTTGTGCTGTAGTTTGTGATAATGTAAATTCCTGTAACTCTGTCAGTAAAATACACCCCCCCCCCCCCAAAAAAAAAAAAAATCGCCACCTGGATTTAACTAAGCAAATAGGTACGAGCTTCATATTAGATAATTACTGCAGGGATGATCATCTTTCAGCTGCAACAAGTTATTTAACTCCAACTGGTGCAATGAGTTGCTTCTCATTTCTTCAACAACCATGTTGAAAGACACATCATGTGGTCATGGAAAAGATGCCAGTCTGTTTGAGAAGGGTCAAATCATTGGCATCAAGCAGAGAAAACATCTAAGGAGATTGAAGAAAATACTAAAATTGGGTTAAGAACTGTCCAACACATTATTAAAAACTGGAAGGATAGTGGGGACCCATCATCTTCGAGGAAGAAATGTGGCCGGAAAAAACTGAATGATCGTGATCTGCGATCATTTAAACATTCGTTGAAATCAAATAGAAGAAAAACAACAGTAGCACTCAGGACTCTGTTTAATAGTGAAAGAAAGAACATTTCCACACACACAATGTGAAGAACTCAAGGGATTGGGACTGAACAGCTGTGTAGCCTTAAGAAAACCACTGATCAGTGAAGATAACTGGATTAAAATGCTTCAGTTTGCTAGGGAGCATAAAGATTGGACTCTGGAGCAATGGAAGAAGGTCATGTGGTCTGATGAGTCCAGATTGACCCTGTTCCAGAGTGATGGTTGCATCAGGGTAAGAAGAGAGTCAGGTGAAGTGATGCACCCATCATGCCTAGTGTCTAGTCATCAATGCAAGATCTTGGTGAAAAATTAATGCAACACTGGATGGAAATAGATCTTGTGACACTGTAGAAGTTTATTGAAACAATGACACTGAATGCATGATGTAATCAAAGCTAAAGGCGGTCCAAGGAAATATTGGTGTGTGACTTTTTTTTGGTGGCGACTTTATTTTTGGCCAGGCAGTGTATCTAATTACAGCACACAGTTTTTTTTTATTAGCATTTCTACTACCCATAAATTATAGTAGTAACAGCATTTAATGAAAATTATCCATAAATAAAAAAAATCTTAAATGTCACAAGAATATGCACAATTCTGACTTAAATTTTCCACATCTGTCCTTCTCACTTCCCCAATGGTTGTACACTGTGCAGTTTGATGGCTCCGCCCTCTTTCTTGCATTGACTTTATGGCATGAGCTGGTCCAAATGTGTCGCTTCAAGATGATTTCTGGATGCTGTTTTGATACGAGTCATTAAACTAAATCCTCTTTCAAAATCTGCACTGGAAGCTTGTAGCACAAATATCCACAAGCTGTGAGCTCTCCTTTAGCTTCTCGCATCCAAGTGCTGCACCCACCAAATCTGAGAATGTGCTGATTGACCCGTTTAAGTTTTTGCTTCATTATATACTTGAATTCAGCATATTGACTGTTAATGGCCTCCATAGACTGTGGGTGGTGGAGAATGGCCTCATACTTCTTTGCCAGTGTGGTAATGCCTGCTGATCTAAAGTTAAAACTGATGTATGAGCTCTATGTGTCCATGTCAAATGCAGACCACTCCTTTAATTCGTCCTCTGGAAAACGAGCATCCATGTGATCATAGAGCTTAAGAATAATACTGGTGATAACTAGTATTTCTGCCATCAGCTGATGAGGTCCCCATTGCCTCTGACACAGTCACTCCACTGTACATCCTTCTCCTTCAAGTATTTGGAATACAACTTCTCGATCTTTGCTCTAGCCCTTCCGTCACAGTCAGGTTGCGTCTGTGTAAAGAGAGGCAGAGTTGTGCTAGCTCACCCAAAATGTCTCGCAGAGCAGTGACAGTAACTTCAAACTTTGAATCACTCAGCTTTTTGTAGCAGTACTTTGCCACTGGATCTCTATCAGTTAATTCTCTTTGGCAGAATTCTTCAAGCACAATGTAGTTCCACAGAACAGCATTCACAACTTGGTGCCACAACAGCCATCGCACTTTGTTCAGAGACCTGAATGACAGTGCATCTTCATCAAGAATCTTTGCAAGGTACTCCATTCTGCCCCTCTTCACAGTGGACTGAGAGAAAGTGGAATATCAAAGTCAAAGTCTACTTTATTGCCAGTTTCATTTTATGTACAGACATACAAAGAATCAAAATTGCATTTCTCACCACCCCCTGGTGAAACTAATAGTTTAATAAGCACATCACATCACAATGATTAAGAACAAATGGTAATAAAACGTTTTTCCATAATCCATAAAAAAACAAAACAATGTAAAAAAAGATCCCATAAGCCAGATACCATATACAGTTTTCAAATACAACTCATGGTTAACAGGATGGATAGAACTTGTGGGAGAGAATTCAGCCTCCTCACTGCCTGATGGAAAAAACTGTTCAACAATCAAGTAGTGAATGCACAAAGACTTCTGCACCTTTTCCCAGAGGGCAGAACTTCAAACATATAATGTGCTGGATGACTTCCGTCATTCACAGTCGTCACTCTGCGAGTAAGTCGCTTGGAGTATGTATCTTGCGATGATGGAAGTGGAACACCAGTTTTCTTCCCAGCTGTATGTACAATACACTCTAGAGCTTTTCTACAGGCAAGAGTGTAGTTTCCACCTCACTGTAATGCCACTGGGAATAATTCTCTCAATAGTACCACAATAAAAAGTTCTTAAAACGAATGTGGATGCCCCCGCACGTCTAGGTTTACGCAGAAAATACAAGCGTTGTTAAGCTTTCCTCACTAATGCTGTAGTGTTAGTGGTCCAAGAAAGGTCCTCAGTCCTCAGTTTTAGGTCACATTTATGCAGAAATATAAAAAACTAAAGGCTTCACAAACTTTCAAGCACCATTTAGTCCAAGGATTTTAATCCTATGTAAAAATCTTCCTGTTTGACCAGATTAATTTTTTAAATTTTGCTCAAGAAATGGCTGAAAAAAAATTGTAAACTTATTTTTATAAGGTTACAAACTTGTATTTATATTGCTATTCATATTGCTGTGTGCCACTGCAGCTAAAGTGCAGTAAAGATAAATAACAGGAGGACTGTGCAACATCAGAACCATATTAAGTGAATGGGGTCAAAATGGAACGTTTTGCAGATTTTGCTGGATTTGTTAAAATGATCATTAATCAGTTTACATTTGGTTTGATCAATAAAGTGATTTGCATTTATGGGAAAGAGTCGAGCTAAACAAACCTCTTGACTGTAAACTATAAAACATTTGGCTCTTTCTGTCTCCACCTAAACGGCAACATTGAGCCAAGTATTCAAAAAGCGTTCAATACAAAAACAACTGGACTTTATTTGTAACAGAAGACGTTTCGCTCCTCATCCGAGGAGCTTTCTCAATTCAAAGAGCAGAGAGTGAGAGATACAGGTTATAAGGCTGAGTGAGATAAGACACACACACATAAGACACACACACACATAAGACACACACACACATATGTAGATTGGCAATTCACACCTAAAAACCTAAACAGTAGGTCTTTGTTCCTCTAATTCACAGTCGAGGCCCCTCTGTTCCCATCAGGTGTGAAAACCGGCTGGGGATCTGTTTTAAAGTTGCATTATATGTTTTTGAAAGTGGGAATCTGAGGCCTCCTCC